GATGTGGTGGGTGATACGTCGAAGCAATGCAGATTTACGTTCATCTAAGCGTTACGCCAAGGAGTAGAGAGAACATGGGATTTTCCCAACAATCACTGCAGGGTTGCAAAGATGCTGGCAGGGAAGGCCTAGATGGACATGCCATAACCAAGTGGCTGGCATAGTGTACGTATAACATCTAGTGCAGAGTATGGTTGGAAAAAAACCCCAGGTCTACATGGGACAATTCCTCAAAGGGGTGGAGAATGCAAAGATTCCTGTGGACTTCAGCTACAAACCGACCGAATGGTAATGGAGAACCCTAACCTTGTGCAACGTGGGGTAGGACAAAAGCAGAAGAAAGGCAAAATGGTTGTGGCATATATCCTAAGTCATATGGCTAAATTGCACGCGAAAATTTGCAACACGCGTAAGTAGCTTGAGAATCTATTCCAAGTGTCGTCACATGAGACGAGCTAGAGAGTGCTGCCTGAAATGAGATAAAAGGGTGGACTAAGTAGTAATTTCCTAAATAGACGTGAGTAGATTTCGTAGTGTACTCCGCGGACATTTAGTGACCTCGCAGTCTGTGAAGGATTGGAGCTGTCTACATGGGGGATACCCTGTCGTCAAATCAACTTCTGGTATTAAATTTCTTCGTTGGTCACCACTCGGAATGTGTGCAGTGCTTCAAGGAATCAGCAAGATATCTGCGTGCAGATTATCTCAAGCTCCAGTGCCTCATGGTTAAGAGATTGAGTCTAGTATCACTATGGGTGTGGTTTTCGGTCAGTATCCTCGCATGTATCATGGGTTGCCAAATATCTGTCGTAATCATCAGCACCTGTATTAAATGCTAGGATCCCTTCATAGTTCAAATGGTGCGTGCTTATTGAGACTCTAACTACACATTAATAGCCATATAAGCTAATATTCCAGTTCATAAAGCCTATGTTATAGGAGGACTATAAAAGGACACCAAGTTGATAATTGTCTTTTCCTTGGAATGTTACATTTAGCTGACTAATTTGCCGTTCGATGTCTCGACAAATTACGGTACGGTCGAACCAACCTAAGTGATTTACATTGATAGTTTTGTTCTTTGTCTACCGAATCGTAACATCTATAGCACTGATTTTTACTCCTGATTGGCTAATCATGCCTATTAGTATATGCTGCTTGCTATGTTTACTAGTTCTACACAGTCAGTACGTCATGTCCGCTTATCATGCAAATATGATTATACAATTTAAGATCTGCCTCATAATATTACAGTTATCCATTCTGTGTACTATTCGACGTAAAGATGCTAGGAGCTATGATTTGGTTCCAGGATGATCAGCCCATTTGTCTCTTTGGATACAGTCTGTGTGGCTGGGTTATACAACAGATTATATATAAAAACATGACATATTATTATGATCATTATACCAAATAAATTTAATGCCAAAGCCTAGTTCGACTAACTTTCATAGAGTGATATAAAATATGTTGTTAACCTCAGGTCAAAAAGTCTAAGGAACACCTTAAATTGAACTAACACCTTAGTGTCACATGACTAACAAAATATGCATCATTTACAGGTCAAAGAACGTATGGGATTATCCTTTGCGTTTTGGATAAGATTCCTTTTTGAATTCATCAATTTCTTGATCCGTTAATTCTTTTGGGTAGTTTGTAAATAGTTTAAATATTGTTCTAATAAATAATCTTATCTTTCAAAGTTCAATTCACTTGCTAAGTGGTATCAAATTGGAGGTATTCCGATGTAGCTCATAGTTGTTTGTTAATTATGATTTATGAAAATAAGTTGTCAGATTTGATATGGATGCTCGGTAAACACTTCAATTCTTCCTACTACCCTATATAATCCACGATGTAAGTTCCAAAAAACTATCTAGTCGATGCAGAGTGTACTAGCGTTCGCTTTTGTTTTCTTCGTGTGACTATGCTCTGACAGGACCTGGCCTTGCTGTGTTGCATGATTCATGTACCTAAGGAACCTTGGGCTCTCGTGTGATTTCAGACCTCAGGACCTGAGCTCTGTCTGTTCGCATGCCCTTGGACTCTAGCGATGCTAGAACGTGCAGCTTGAACGGCTGTCATGTCATACGTGATCATTCCACCGTTGCATTATGTACTAGATTATATATATGCCCCATCTCACGAAGAGTACTTTCTAGGCGCAACGGGGCTTTCATTATGTTATGTCATCTCATTTCCATTACAGGCTATTCACAGCTTTTAGTATCCAAGAACACGTGCCTAGTTTCATTTTCAGCATTCTCTAAGCCAGCCTCTCACAATCATTATGCTATTGTTAAGTTCCCAAGTAGGAGTCATCTGTGTAGTGCTGCGCGCAGCCCACCGCAGGAGCTAGAAGCTGCTTCAGATTTAATTAATCCTTATCTATAGTTAATCTGAATCGATCTATTCAGTGATAACATAGTATAAAATATTTTCGAGTTCTTTTTCGTGTTAATTCTTGCATATGTCTGGTTTCTTATTGATTTCTAGTAATTATCAATGCAGTATTCCATTACTAATGAGTCTATTTTACTAGTATTTATTCACGCTGATTATCTCGAGAACTGTTTATCTGTAATCGCCTCCCTTTTCACATATAAAATAATGATTTACAGTGTGTGATGTTTTGACTTTATAATCTATTAATCTTATGTCCCATAATGGAATGTAGACGTGCTGCTATTCAAGAGTTCAATCACTAGTCCTTCTTTGCTTTGCATTGATATTTTTCCATTGGTTCATCATCATGACCTAGAAGCCAAGACGTGTAATGTGGGATGATATAAACTGTCAGCTCAATGCGAGACAAACTGAACAGGTCATGTCACTGTGATTCAGTCTAAATGTACTAACTTAAAGTGGCTTAATGGTTATTTGGGGTAGTTCAGTTATACACCTGCTAGACCTAGTCACACATTCTCACCATATAGAGCTATATGATAAACTCGTACCCAGTTTTAAACATTAATCCTTTAGAAAATGATCCGTTTACATGGGCTATAATTTTTAATTTCAAAACAAGTTAAGGTCTCCAAATAGGTCGGTTTGTAAAGTTAGTATTAGCGCGCATGACTGAATCATTCAGCATGATGATGGAAACGTAAATTAACTTATGTGTTATCTTTGGTTAGCATCTTTACCGGTTTCAGGTATAGTTGTCACAGTTGCAGCCCTATGTGCTATATAAGACCGTGGGTTCAATATTGCTCCAACTCTTTAAAGAGAGCATTGATACCGAGTAATTTATTCCTTAATTCAGTAGTTCATAAAAATAGTCCTTTTTTATTCCATCCAAGTTGTATTGCATAAATACATCATAATCATATAGAAACTGGTAGGTAATGATTCAGCTGTCGTAAGAATATATAATAGGCAGTGAAAAGATGGCTGAGTTAAGACGTTTGAATGCGGGCCTGCTACTTCTTCCTCGTACCTTCATCGAAAACTCGAGTCATCGGTGAAGAGCCAGCTTGACGCGTTCCTCTAGCTACTCTAAGACGATGCTTATAACACAAAGCGAGGACTTCCTCGAATTACAAAAAATTTCGGAAGCTTATTAATTTTAAACAAAAATTGATTGACAACATAAATCTTGAATAATATAATAATGATGAACATAGTTTTTATTTGAATCAAATCACTTGTAATGATTATCGAATATGTATTATGATAATCTGCTAATATTTTAATATATTAGTTAGACTCCCTAAGGTTTTCTAACTCACGGACTTGTTGCATCAGTCTACGCTAGAATTAATCAGATTGGGCTAGCTAGCTAGTTCAGTCCATCATTTAACAAAAACTTCTTTCACTCTGTGTTGTCTCTTCCGTTTTTCTTCTGGTAATAGACTCCAGAGTTTCGCAATTTCGCTTTTGTGCTCCACTATCTTTAGAAACAGTATCTATTTTGTTATGAAAACATTAGTTCTATCATGTACCATAATTCATGAATCATCGAATGCACTTATTGTTTTGAACACTGCGTTTAGGATATTTATATGTGTACCTGTATGGGTCGGATGAAGCTAGGCTTTTCTATATGGTTGGTGTGATGTCGCAGATTTCAATAGGATATTGGTAGCATATGGTATTTTCTGTTTTCAGCTGTTGTGGTCTTACAGCGTCTCTTGCCTAGCTACCAGTTGGCTTAAATCTTTTCACTAGCCCCCCACCTCCCCCCCTACGCTCCCTTACTTAGCACGATAGGTGATTGTGACTGGATCTAGTTGTACGCTGAATAGTCTAGTGAATAGCCATTTGTTCGGAAAAGGTAATTGCGCTAGTATTTACCACACCTGATTATCTTACTATCTTTAGAGTTGCATTGAGTACGAGTCTATACTATGGTCATTAGTTGGATTATTGAAGAGTCTGTATATTCTAAGAAAGCTAAATTTAGTAAATTGGAGAATTGCCTTCTTCAGACTTGGCATTCTCGCGTTCGGAGCCTCTATATACACATTCTTATTATATTTTCTAATCCTTTAAGGACTAAATCATATCATGTTACAGAGTTTTAAAAATTTTATATTCATATCTGTTCCACTAGCCATCAACTCGCGTAATATCCATTGTTAATACCATACTTAATCAATATATACAAGTCAGTAATACTTACTTATCACATTCATTTTCCTTAATCATTCCTTTATCATTTTCCACTAATCTACCTCATCACTCTATCAAATCATTAACCTTCAGAATTACATCCACAAACTACATATCTCACTGCACACCAACAAATTATTCCCACCATTCATCAATATCAATTCTCTACATCAACTTTACCAATCCATCTCCCAAATCTATACTAAAATCATTTTTAAACTTTCCTTATTCACCACTTCACCCTACACACACCTAATCACTATTCTTTTAAACACTCTCCCCAACATACCATAATACTCAAACACTCCCTTACTCTAACATATACCCCATCAACAAATCATCCTATAACCCTCCAACTAATTACCCTCCACCACTTCCTCAAACCTCTAACCCCACCAACCTAACAAACACAAAAAACAACCCCAAACCATAATCACCTCCATTCTCCCACACCCAAACACATCAAACCATCCACTATACACACCTACAACACTACCTAAATCATCTACACATAAAACAAAATTAAAAACAAAATATCCTCCAAAATACAATAAAAACCCCAAAAAAACCAAACCCCCCCCCCAAAAAAAACCCCCCCCCCCCCCCCCCCCCCCCCACCCCAAACACCCCCACCCCCCCCCCCCCCCAATTCCCCCCCCCCCCCCCCACCCCCCCCCCCCCCCCCCCCCCCCCCCCCCCCACCCCCCCCACCACACCACCCCCCCACACACCCCACCCCCCCCCCCCCCCCCCCCCCCCCCCCCCTGTTGTTCTTGGCCCGCAAGGGTGATCAAAGGGGCGATTAGAGATCACGGCATTGTTCTGTGTAAAATGGTCAATACTTTCATTCACCCCCCTGCCCTCCCCCAGAGAAATTGCTACTATTAGTCCGTTTGATTGCCTTGTCTGAACAGTTTCATTATAATCAGGCTTAATTATTTGCATTCATCGTAATATTGCGCTGTTATACCTAAAACTACATCTGCGAATTTAGTAGTTCCATTCAGTTTATTACTAGACATTTTAATATTCCTAAGCAACAATCCCTTCTTCTTCTACTGTTGAGCCTGGAGAAATCATAGAGTAAGTAGTGGTCTTCTAACATCACGTCATTTTCTATCCATCGATGACTCTATGAGGTGAGCTTTCTATGTTCAATTCCGCGAGCTTCTTTAGTTCAGGCAGGATTCCCTGTGAAGACGTTTATTATTCAGTAGAAACGACACAGACTATTATCAACCTACATTGAGGAAAAACATTAGCTCTTTTACCAAATCACAATTTTAACTGTATTCTTCTATTTCTTATCTGGTTCTTGTCTATGTAAGGTGTTAATTTGTCACATAAAATTCAGTAAATTCTACTGAATTACTATGTGTTAATAAAAGCTTATACTTGAATTACGTTTGTTACATAATTATGTTTCTGCCCATTATGTAATGCTCTTTGTTTACCAGAGTCTCCATTAAGTTCTTAGATAACATAATGGTGTTTTTTATCTTATTATTTATATCTTCCATCTCTATACTGTGGTTTGCTTTCATTACAGTGGGTTGTGCCCAGGGCTTTGCTCATGTCTATTTACATTCTCAGGAACAAACTGAGCTTACAGTTAAGATCAATGTTATTATGTATGGTTTAGTTCTTATTTAGCTGGATTACTATCTTATTATGCGCTCATAATTGTTCGAATATAGTACATATACCTCTCGTGAACCTAGAGTGAAAGTTGCTAGTTGCACTATTCTTTCTACGATCTCATGGACAGGGGTAGTTTGTGATTGTCATATGTACGTAGATCTATTAATCTACATGCGGTATTTATACATCCCTTACCGGAATCGTCATATCTTATATTTAGCCATTGGTTTTTGTGTTCCGACGTTACTCTATAGACAGAGTGATAACAGATACTGAATCTTCACCCCGCGTGTATTGTGCCCAAATCTTTTTGATACGCTGGATCAATCGAGCAGCTGCTGATAAATTTCTCAAAAATACCTATATTCGAGAACTATTGAGTGCTAAATTACCTTATATTATACTTGATTTATAATGACATTCTTATATGATCTTTATTGAAATTCTATGGTTACTGTGCTATAATCTGCTATCTCTTATTCATCTTATCATCATTTTAACGTAACTATTTTCAATACGTGTATATCTCAGTTTTTATTGTCATTGTCAAACAGTACTCACTGTATCGTTGAAATCAAGGTACTAAGCAATTTTGACAATCTGTATGCTAAGAAAAGATTCTAGCTGCATGATTGACTTGGTAGGTATGGAGCGATTTTCTATCCTCCTTTTGTATAGATAAAATACTTTGGACATTAGTTATGAAGGAAATGGTCCTTTTCGTTTGCTATTGGGCTATTAAAAAATAGTATCTCTATTGTGAAGTCCTATCGTGCATTTCTATTATTTTCTACTCTATTGTGATTCTCGATCCAAGACTCTATCTGGTTATAGCTAGCTTGATGGCGATCTCTCAAGAAAGCATGGCATATGCCAATTTGCTCTACGACTTACTTAGTCCACTTTCATTCTGTGCATGGGTAAAATTAGTCTTAGATTTTTCGATAACAGTTAAGACTGCTCATTACTTCAGAGGTCGAATTGTCCCACATTGTGTTATTGTTAAAACATTTTAACTCTCCTATCACGCTGACGTAGGATTGTTTATGAGACATTGTTCCAATCTACTCTCTGTTTTACTACTTATTTAACATCTACTAATACGCTGTAATATCACTCTATTGACTGTTATTCATTTCTCGAATCACCTCACTTATTTTGATGACTAGTTGCTCCTAAGTCCCATCATGTCGCATCTAAAAGATCTATACATCCTTTTGCTATTGATTCATGAATTGAAGTCTGAATTCACTTCAAGACATCTTATCAGCAATTTTTCTTCGATCAGTGCTAGGTTTCTGAGTGTAGTCTAGACACTTAATGCATGGGCGAAATTAGATATGTATATTCTTGTGCATATTGCTGCGTCTTTTTCTCTATGTTTCTTCGCCCTAATTCAAACTAATTTTATACGCCTTGGTTGTATTTCAGGCAACAATATTACACTAAACAACACATGTAGTAGTTTTCTCAATATCTAAAAAGGGATATATAAAAATCTAAACAGTTAATGCCTGAAGAAAGTTGAGCGGGAAGATTAAGAGTTTTGGAATCTAAGTTGATTATATAATCTTACCTGTTAGTCATCGACGCATTTATATATGGCTATATGCTATTTATTATGATTTCTTGAAAGGTGTAACAATACGTGCACAATTCTTTGGCTGTACAATTGATCGCTTGTCTATTATATATTACTGTGTTTAATAGTTTGATTTGTCCCCTAATATTTGATATGAGTGTGGTAATACATCAGCTGTTGATATTTAAACAATAGAAATTCATTAGTACTCTGTTCTTACAATGGCGTACACAGCTCTCAGCGAGGCTGCGTTCACAGAATGCAAATGTATATTTGAGTAATTTTAGATTCAGAAATTAAATAGTATAATATGCCTGATCGATCTACATGTACTATGCATCTTATTATATTCTACTCTCTTATTAGTTACACATTCTTTGCGCCATAAGATCCGTACAGCACTATGTGAACAAAGAGAGGCATCTAAGACTATTATGATATCCATGCTTGATCGTGGGCCTGTTTGATATGATCGTTTAGTTATTATGTTGATTGAGCTTTTTAATAATTTTGATTCCATTATAGATAACTTATTTTAACACAATTAAGAATTCTATTTGTGGTAATTATTATCGACTAGTTTATTTCATATTTATATTATAATTTCATATATGTTTCTTCTTGACGAAACTTACTAGTTTCTTTAGACCGTACTAAGTCTATTTACGAATAAGACTAACTTTTGAAATCCAATGACATTATAAGGATTCCAGGACTAATTTCATTTCTCTATTCCTAAATCATTTATTATGTAGATTATATGATGTTATACTTATCTTATAGGGCGATATGCATACTGTTAATGATGCTGTGCAAACAGTATATGAAGAGTAGCTATTTATATTCGTCCTTTTTGATTTGCACAGAGAGCTACTAATCTAGAAATGCCTTACTGACTCCTTATGCAGGACTAATTAATAGAATTTTTATTTTATATTTGAGCTATACTTCAAGTAATTCTATTTTATAATTTTGTCATTTGCTTTTATGGCCTCGCCACTCTTTTTTCTCTATTGTATTAAGGTTTTTTGCTTTTGTAAGTGATATGATTTTTAACACTTCCTTTCTATATGGTATTAGAGTGTAAGGTACCTGATGATCACAAACAGACTCAATTGACAAGTTACATTACATTATACTTCCCTCTCTTGGTCGTGGGCCAAAGTGTAAATGTATGCGTCTTGGTACTAGTGTGGGTGTAGATTTTATACGTGGTATTCAAATTATCTTCCTAGTTGTTCTCTCTAGCTCTTGATCAGTCCTCAAATCGCTATGTGGCGATTGATGCCTAACAAAGTTATGACAGAATGCCTTCATTTTCGGCTTCTCGCTCATGATCTCTATACGAATCTAACTTGTGTTAATCTTGAAGTTCATGATATTGTAATGTTTTAATTCGTTTATCTGAAAAGAAAACAATTAGATTATGCTACAGTAACCGACTCCTCCTCTTTCCCACTCTCTTAACTCGTATTGATGTCCAAGCTCTGTCATAAAATCTTTTTCAATTTAGGGCTAAAATTATAGAACCTACATGCTCCAGACGGTCAGACATTATTGAATGTACTATCACAGGGCACGCTGACGTCTGCCCCCCCCCCCCCCCCCCCCCCCCCCCCCCCCCCCCCCCCCCCCCCCTTTATATCCTATCCCCCCCCCCAATATTATTTACTAGGCCAACTACAGACTTTATATCAATGCTTTAAATTTATTGTAACTCGTGTACTCTAAATTATTTATTCTCTAAATCACTGCACTTCTAATAAACGTTGTGTATGTACTAACACATTTGAAGTTGTTTTGTTCCTTTCGACATATTCGACGGGCTCCACTGGCGAGCTAGGATCTGTGTAAAACAACTGTTTCCAGAACGAGTCAGCAGAACGGTAGGTGACATATACCAGCTTACATTCTCTCATCTTATGCTACTCTCAGTAGCAAGGAGTATCTTTAATCTGACACAGGATTTTTACTCCGCAGTTACGGATGTACCTTATGTCAGCACAGTTAGACTTTTCAGACTAGAGGGACATCTCGTTTTTGCAGCTGAGGTTCAATAATGATGTTTGATCTTATCTATAACTCAAGTTCCAGGTGCTTAGACTGATTGCCGTAGACTAAAGAATTCAATTATCTCAAATGCTCAAACATTTATAGACTTATTTAAATTATGGAAAACATATTAGTTATAAGTCACATTATTACCCCCTCTATGTCTGACTGTCAGCCACGTATCACCTTTGAACTCTACTGCAGTCAATCTCATCTTTAAGTAACATCTCAGTCTGAATGCACACATCGATGACACTCATCACTGACACACAGCACTTGACCACATACATCGGATATATTGTAAGATTTCGTTATTGCTCCAAGAAGTTTGTTCTAAGAGTCCTTATTTGCGTAGTGTAATATTCTGATATGACACACAAACTATGTAACACATCACATAGAGCACTAATCACTGCACAGTAGACCTTTTGAGATTTGACTTGTTGGCTTTCTTAAATGTCAGTTAATTACTATGCATTTCTTATGAGTGTTCTGTTATATTATTAGTTTGCACACTTCCCTGAGCTCTGCAGGAAACGTAGTATGCACATTGCACTTTTTCGCATAGTCACT